AATGACATGCTGCTAAATATGATAGTCTCCATTAGACAACTACTATGCATCCCCTTTCCTATTTCCTGGAATGTGTCCTCTCTGCTTCCCACAGGGCAATAGTGACTTCTCCTTGTAGGATCTTTGAGGATACACTGAGTATAAATTCATGGCTATCATCCAAGTTGCTGATAGAGGGAGAGATTGTGCATGTATGAGTACAAAGAGTTTATCAAAACTGTTTATATTAATTCCTGCTTAATTTTTCTGTGAAATAAAAAACTGTTGTTAGAAAAGGTTTTTTTTTTAACAAAAAATAATAGAGTCAGATGTCACTGTGGTGCAGTGGTTAACGCCATTGCCTGTGTTGCTAGCATCCCCTGCCTGTGCTGGCTTGAGTCCCAGCTATTCTGCTTCTGATCCAGCTCTCTGACAATATGCCAGGGAAAGCAGTGGAAGATGGCCAAGCACTTGGGCTCATGCACCCATGTATGAGACCCAGAAGAAGCTCCTGGCTTCTGGCTTCATATTGGTTTAGCTCTGGCCATTGTGGCCATTTGGGGAGTAATGGATGATTCTCTTTCTCTCCATAACTGTGTGTCAAGCAAATGCATGAAAAACAAAACTTAAAGAATGAGTGATTATTTCAAAATTCACTTTTCTAAAATCAAATACTTGATTCCTATCTTCCAGGTCTTATTGTCTCAATACTTCATCCATGGGTGATGGTGCCCAACTGGCCCATTGCAGGATGTTTCCCTTTGAAATACCTCTGGCATGAATCTTTAACTATCAGTGTATCCATGTAACCTGGCCTAAGTTCCTACACATGAAGCATTACCCTATCTCAAGGACTGATATTTGCACTTCACTCCACTTCAACTCCCATCACTTCTCTCTGGGGCCAACTTTGAACCCATGGAATGAGCTATGTTCTTTATCTCCATAGGACTTTTGCACAGGTTCTTTCCCCTGACTGACAACGCTGCCTATCCCTACCCCTCTGTTTACCTGTGACGTTTCTCTTTGAGTCCCTTCTCCAGGGAAACCTCCCTGGTTCTCCCTGTTGAGATCAAATTTCAGGTGATGCACTATTACAGAACCATGTTCCTTGCCTGCAAATAGTTCACTTCATTTTGCAACTGTGCATGTACACACAGTGGTGATTTGAAAAACACTCACCTCACAGGGTAAGATCTGTGAGAACAAGCATCATGATGTTTTGCAGACAACTAGATCTCCTGCCCACAGCATAGATACCTGGCACATGTCAGATTGTCAGTAAGTATTGGTTACTGAGAGAGTGAGTGTAAATGAGATTGACAGTACACAAAGAGGCCCAAACAAGTCTCATAAGATGCCTAGGGAATATAAAAGAGGACACTTTTATCATCACAAATTCCTTGATTTTGAGAGATCAGAGAATATTAAGGGTAGTTCATTGACCCTCTACCTGCTTGTGTCTGTGAGATAGTGAATAGTAAGCATCCCATCTGAAAAGTGATTATTTTCCATAAAATAATTTTTGAAAATTTGATGAGGACAGGACAAAAATGAAGACACAAAATTTCCCTGTCCTTGGCTGCTCTTTTTCTATTTGCTCCCGGGAGGCTGACAATATGCAACACGAGGTTCTGTCAGGCAGACTCACTTGCTGTTCCTGACCATGCAGCTCTCCACATGTAACCTCGAACATGAATAAATGCCTGCTGAGTTATCCACCTGGACTCCCAATGGCTAATCCCGTAGTTACCCCTATCTTTGGGAAAGCAGCTGCAGATTCTCCATCACCTGAGACTGGTGGTTGTTTGGAGCACAAGGGAGGGATTGCTAGCCTCCCCATTCTTTCTTTCTCTCTGGTCTTATCAAAACTCCACTGAGGCATATAATCTCTTTTCAGTTTCCTTGCTACCAACTCTTTATCACAAACAGAGCTGAAAAATATATATATTTTCTGTGTTTTCTGTCCTTAAATATGATTTAATGATACCCAGGGACAGTTTTGTTTCCCTAGGGAGAGCACACTGTCAGTTTCATAATGAAAGGATAAGGGAAAATAGCATTCACTACACTGAAATTTGATTTGTGGCAAACCGGTCTGGAATTTTCTCTGTGCTGGCACTGTCAATGGCTCAGGATTACTGTGTGCAACAGTGGGTCCCTTGGTGGAAAGGCAGTCCCCAAACAGCAATAAGGGCTGACTGATGATAAATTCAGGATAAGCTTCTCTAAAAGAGGATAACAATACTTATTATGGGTTATATAACCCTCTATTTAAAGCAATAATAAGTTTAGAAGGGCCTATTGAAGAGTATAAAATACACCATAACAGAGGAAAGGTGGTGGAATAGGGTGAGGACAGGTTTAAACAGATGGGAAAGGATTAGCCGAAGTGAAGCAGAGAGGATGTGATCCTGGGAAATAGGAGCAGACAGGCCAATGGCAGAGGGACGCCTGGAAACCCATGGACATGGGGGAAAAGCAGAGACACAGAATGGTGCTGCAGTGGTAACACACCCCAGCAGCGACTGGTGAGTGGAACTGCACCTGAGGCCAGGCGGGAAGGTGAGTTCGCTGGAACTCAGCATAGAACTGCCCATCGTGCTGGTTTGTTTAATCTGACCTTGAGCAGAAGCAGAGTGGCAGAACCACAAGCAGTTGGGTGGAAGATCAGAGTGGATTCAGACTCCCGCCAGTGCCACATAGGATGCAATTGTGTATACTGAAGCAAAGCCTGTGGAGGGCAGAGGGATATCAGAGAGCTGCTGTTGGAAAAATAGGACTGCCAATCTCTTTCTCATATGCAGATTTCATTTCCTTTCGATAGATTCCCCAAAGTGGGATAGCTGGGTCATATGGCAGATCAATTTTCAGTTCCGTAAGCAATATTAACTTGCATAGTTGTTGTACTGGCCTATACTCCCACCAACAGTGAAGTGGGGTGTTTCTCTTCACATTCACACCAGCAGGTGTTATTAGTAAGGGTATGAATGTAGGTCAGTCTCACTGGAGTTAGGTGGAACCTCAGGTGGTTTTTGTTTCTACTTCTCTACTAACCAGGGAGGCTGAGCGTGTTTTTCATATGACTGCTAGCCATTTGAATTTGTTGTTTTGAAAAATATTTATTCATTTATTCATTTCCTTCACTCATGTCTTCACACGGTTGTTTGTTATGGCTGTCACTGAGTTTTTGAAGCTCTTTGTAAATCCTGGATTTTACCCTTCTATAGATTTTGCGAAGATTTTTTCTCGTTCTGTTGGTTCCTTCTTCACCCTGTTGATCATTTATTTTGCTGAACAGAAGCTTCTTAGCTTGACGTAGTCCTAGTTCTTTATCTTAGCTTTCTACCTGCTCTTTGGGTGACTTTTAAATGCAGAAGAGACCAGGATTTCCCCCCCAGATTGCTTTCAGTTTCTTTGTCAAAGATTAGTTGGCTGAACCATCAGGGTCACTCCGGAGCCCTCCACCAAAAAAAATTAGATTAGATAGACAGAGAACAACAAGGAAAGCTCAGTACCAGATAGGAAATGGTTAGCCTGGGACTCACATATACCTTACTTGGCAGGACACAAAGATAAGTTACTCCTCACTAGGGTATTGAAGATTTTTCTGCACACCCCTCCTAAAACTGTTCTGCGCTTCAACTATTGACAAATGCCTTGTTAGAGTTATAAGTCAGCATGGACTATCCAAAAATCCACCAAGTTCTGTAAAAATTATGCTTCAGCACTACAAACTGCTAAGTACAAAAATGAAAATATATATATAAAAAAGAAAATAGACACGAGACAGCTGAATAGTACCCTATAGCCATCTTAAGGTATATATCAGCTAGTTGTATATATACTAAAATTGAAATGTCAATGAAGTAATCATAGGATGTGGTTAAGAACTTGCATTTTCTAACATATTGGTCACTCAATACCATGTCAGTTAACTCCATAAGGATATAAAACGTTGTTGATGATATATTATGGCTTTTAATGGGTTGGGACGTTATTCTGCCAGCTCTGCCTTCAGACCAGAGATGGTCTCCCCAAGAAAATGTTGAATTTATTTGGACAATAAGATGCTGGACTCTATGCATGGTACATGCTTGCAATGAAAGAATCATGACTGGATTTGAACTGTAATACTGCAATAAGGTGGATGTACCATGGGGGGAGGGTAGAGGGAAGGGTTGGGGGAATCCCAGAGCCTATCAAACTGTATCATAAAATGAAATGTAATAATAATAAAAATTAGTTGGCTGTACATGTGTGGACTCCATTCTGGTGTTTCTATTCTGTTCCTTTACACATATCCCTATGTGAGAAGTTACCCAGAAAATTACAAAAGTATTCCCCAGCTATAGGCAACTGCCTAGGATGTCTTGCACCTAGGCAAGTGTTACACTGCTGGAAGAAAAGCAATGGCTGGCACCCATTCTGGGCCTGCTTAGTGCCAAATTTGTGTTAATTATACCAATGTGTCAGCAGGGGAGCTGGCTAATACATGTCACGCCTGGTTCCCTGCCTTTCTTCACCTCGCCCTTTGCTTTTAGACTAGACTGCACCGTCACTAGCTCCTCCCCTACATCACCATTGTATCTGTGGATTTGTAGCTGCGCCTTGAGTACTTCAGCACCGTGAAAGGTTGGAACCGACGCTCAATGCAGTGTGTGGCTACACTGATAATTATATGGATGGAAACTCTGGCAAGAAACCCACTCGGAGCCTGCTTCTGTGACATGGGCTTCCAGGATTTTACTGATCACTGAAACAGCGGACCAGAAGCAATGTCTCCAGGTTGGCAAAAACCTGAGGAACAGGAGTTTTAGGTGTGTCTAAGTAGGTCAACTAGGAAATAGTAAGATGATCAGTCTTATTGCAAAATGGGATTAAGATAACATACAATATTTGAAAATAATCTATTTTGCAAAAGATTCATATAAGAGGTTGGCAATTTGATTGCTGTTTTTTTTTTCCCCACTTGAAAAGACACAGAAATTTCTCAGGCTTGAGAAGTTCAAAGCGCTTACCTTCGATGGTGCACTGATCGGGGACTGGAATCCTCTTTGCGATTTCCACAGCATACGCTTTCACTCTGTCGAGGTTTTCCTTTAAGTACAGGTAGAGTTTATCGTCATACTCTACAGGGCTCGCCATTGTTCCTGCAGTTTCTTCCTGGTGGTTTCCTCGAACAGTTTCTGGTAGTTTCTCTGATTCGATATATACAATACTTGGGTATGAAACAGAGGAATTTCTCAGCTGTCGCTCATCAGAGTCTGTCTGAGAGAAGAATCTGTCGCTTCCGTGGAGAAGTGGGTCTATTTCTGAAAGGGAGGTGCTGGCAGGGCGATCTCCACTTTCCACATCTTCCCCGTCATCTGAACTCACAGCCTTTTTGAGCACAGAGTGCAAAGCCAAACTTTTTGACCTATAGCACCAACAAAGGGCAAGTTAAAATAGATAATAAAGTTGAGTCACCATTCACTGACTAGGAAAAGAGATAGTAGTAATCCTGGGACAGTCATTTCCTCTGAAATGGGGAACTATTAATAAGCTTGAGAAAACATAGTCTATCAAGATACCAAACCTCTAAACATTTAGGTCAGCTCTCCAACCAAAGATTTACAAGTCAATTTTATAGCAAAACTGACTGCAGAATGACAGATTTCCATATTAGTATTTTTTCTACTTTCGCTTCTAATTTTTCATCAGAAATCATGAGATACTGTTGACAGTCATTCTTAATTTGGCATATGACTAGTTAAGAGGTATTTTTAAAAAATAGTGATAGGTTTGTTTCCTACTTGTATTTTTTATTTAAGATAGTGAGCTGCTTTCAATAATGAAAACACTGAGGATGATATTTTATCATGAAAAGACAAAACGTTGGGTCCATAAAAAGTACCCCAAGACAAAATGAGAACAAAAACAGCAGCAAACATGAAGTGTATATGTTTTTTTTTTTTTTAAACAAAACAAGCCAAATATACCTGTTAAATCTCATGTTTTTTCTTTTTTCTTTAGAAACTTGGTCCAAACTGTGTCTTCTGATTGAACCGGGAATGTTGCTGTCAGTATTTATTCTGGCTGTGCAGGCTTGCGTTTTAGCTTGGAGCTTCTCGCAGTCTTCATTTTCACTAACTGTGAGTTTAGTCTCCTTCGGTTTCTCTGGGAATTCGATTTCAGCACTGGTTTTTCTCCTGAAGGAATAGAAGTCATCGTACCCGCAGTTTGTCACACAGAGCATTCAGAATAGTGTTGTTTTAAAATGACCTTTTATATCAAAACTTTGCCTGATAGTTTTATGTGTTAACTTTTCAATAAATATTTGTTGAATATCTAATGTGGGCATAGGTCTTTGAAATTGCTTCTGTGGCTTATGCTGTCAGTTTATAAATGATGGTGCTTCAGTTTTGAAGGTTTCAGAGACTTAAAAAACAGCTTTTATTGTTGTCAACCACCTTCCTGCTTATAGACGCTGCAAAATTTGCTCATGAAATTCATGACAACATTTTCTGGAAAATTTACATGTGTTGTCATTTTGAACTTAAATGCACATAGTAAGAATACTTCATCTGGCCTATTGAAAGCTTACTTTTAAAAAATTGTGTGGAAATCAGTGTTAAGAAAAAATATTTCTGAATTTGAGAATGTTAGAGGAAAGAGGCTTTCTATGAATAATATTGGTAGTTTCCAATATCTTTTAGTAGAGTTTATAAACTACTCTGGATTACTAAGATTACCGCTTTAAGGTATGGACCTTGTGTGCCGTAATACTGGACCCACTCTGAGGGCAAACAGTGTCCTATAATAAGGGCTTATGGATAAGCTGCAGAAATACACAAGGTCTTCAAAAAGTTCATGGAAAATGTTTATTATCAAGAGGCAATGCATAGATTTCAAAGTTTTTGGCACCAAAATAAATCTATCTCTTAAATCTGTTTTGTATAAATTAAAAAATAAGTATATATATTTTTATTTGAGAGGGGAGAGAGAAAAGGAGAGAGCTTGGCAGTGTTTTCATCCGCAGGGCCATTTTCCAGTTAGGGCTAGGTAAGGCCAACACCAAGCACCTGGAGCCTTATTCAGCTCTTCCACGAGCGTGACTGGTGTGCCGTAGCACCTGCTGAAGGTGTGCATCAGCAGGAAGCTGGGATCAAGAGCAGATCCGGACCTGAATTCAGGCACTCTGAAAAGGGATGCAGCTGTGCTAAGCCTTAGGTCACATGAACTGCCCCTCCGAGAACTTTTTGAAATCCCATGGTTCTTTGCTATTCACTAATGTGACGAATGATTGGGGAGCACTTTGCATTCATTTTCCCTTATGTGTCTTTTAATGTGGAACTGACCCAAGTCTACTTTAATTTTTATTTAGCAATCATTGGCAACCATAATAGTTGGTGTTTTATGCTGTCCTTGTAGAAACAAAACTTACAAAGTAAGTTATTTTTCATTGTCACACTTCTGACACCAAGTATATAGGCTTCCTTTTTATTACAGTAACTAAATCTCTAAGTCTGGGTACCAAATGAGTGTCCTGCATGCCAACTCAAACCTAATATGATCTGCCTGAGCTAGCCCCGGAATCCAGACAGTCTCCCTTCAAAAAGAGTTTCCCAGCTTATTCATACTACTCTCCAACTCATCTATAGAGACAGCAGTAGGCATTTGGCTTAGCACGGTTATACCCTCTTGGTCAGAGTCCACATGCAAGTCCAACCTGGGGATAGCAGCAGGTGGGACAAATTCAGAGGCTAGACAATTTGTCAGATAATCAAGCTGGTTTTTATTGCCTAATAAGCTATTGGAAATAAAATTTTAGCACATTTTTTCCTATATAACTTTTTTTCTATAGATTTTCTATGGCTTTCCATATGTATCTTCTTTTTATTTGTTGCATTATTTGTAATAATTATATTATCTATAACTGTACAGATAGCTGTACTTAACTCACAGGGCTATTGGAAAGGCCAAATGATCAAGTTAGGATGAAGTATGGTCCATAAAGGTAGTCAATAAATGTCAAGTTTTATGACTGTTATTGTTTGTTTTATTACTATACCTTTGAAAGCTATATCTGCCTGGTCAATGCCTCGATAGAGACCACATCAGTGTCCCAGATCCAGGCAGATCAACAGTCCGTATCCTGAAGGGAACTGAGGGCCCTTGGAGAAGACCAAGGCAGCAGCCTGCAGGAGGGCACTGTTGCTTGGCTCCCAAGCACTGGAGCCTGCATGAATGAGCGTTCAGGGAGCTGGGACCCCCCTTCCTTCACTCTCAGGTTGACCTGTGGTATCTCCTTGAGAAGACCTGGGCCTGAAAGAGGCTCTGAGGTTAGACAGCTCCCAACCTTAAAGGTCTCGATCATAGGCGTGTCAGTAAGATACAGGACATTTAGTCAAATCTGGATTTCATGTAAACAACAAATATTTGTTAAATGTAAGAATGTCTCTAGTGGGATATGCTAAAAAAAAGTTTTACTAAAATTGATACACTAAAACGCTAAAAATTAATGTTCAGTTGAATCCAATTGGCTGTCATATTTTTATTTGTTAAGTCTGGTAGTGCTACTCTGGTATAAACTCCAGCTGCTTAGTGGCTAGGGCCAGCACTGTTCATCTTGTTCCTCTGGATCTGGCACAGTGCCTGGCACACATAGGTACCTGAATTGTATGTAGAATAAGTGAACGGAGACCTTTGTACATGTCAGAAATCAGCTTGCCCACCATCACTACTTCCTGGAGTCTACCAGATGTCCATAAAGTATGGCCACGTCTGGCCCCCTGGGGAAATTTAGTAAAAATGAAACATGGAGAGGGAAGCAGAGAGCAAACAGAAGAATCTGCAAATGACCAACAGTTTGGTCTGGGGCCAGTAACCTGGAGGTTTGGGTGCCAAGCTAAGGCACCTGCATCTCATATCAAAGTGCTTGGGTTCGAATCCTGATGTTAACTCCTGATCCTGGTTTCCTATTAATGGGCATGCTAGAGGGCAGCAGGTGATGGTTCAAGCAAAGGTTTCTGTGACTTATGTGCAAGACTCAGATTGAGTTGCTAGGTCGTGGCTTCAGCCTGGCCTGGGCAAGACTGTTGCAAATATTTGGGGAATGAGGCAGCAGATAAGAGCTAGGCCTGTCTCTGTCTCTCTGTCTCACAAAGGAAACAACTGTCTGGGACAAAGCAACGACCTTGAGATGAGGCTGACAAGCGGGCTTCTCGGCACCACGCCTCTCCGTTCCATAGACTCTCTTGTTTTGTTGATTTGGAGATCTGTAGAGCACAGAAGTGGCAAGGCAATGAAAAGTCCGGGAGGCAACCTCAGCCCCACGGCAACTTGACGAGAGCTTTCTGCTCTGGCTCTCAATCCACATGGGGAGACTGCACAATGCTGTTGACAGGGAGGAAGGACCACATTTGATTCCGGTAGGTTGGAACGTTAGGCAATGGAAGCTAAAAGGCCAGGCTGATAAGCAGTCCCCGCTCCTTCACTTCTCCCCTTGCTTTTCACATAAATGATAGGAGAGAAAAGTTGCCAGAAAATCAAGATTTTTTTATCCAGGGATGAACACACTTTGTGTGGACAGTGCGGAAATGCAACAGGAAGGCGGGTACTCCTCGAGTCACTCACTGGAGAGACTAGGCTTAGCAGGCCGGACTCCTGTCAGCTGCTATTTCTTTTCTTTTTGTCACTAGTAATTCCAGTGGGAATTGTACAGAAACCTTGGCCAGAGCACTATAATCCCCTAAATATTAACTTGGCCCCAACTCAAACCATCACATTACAAGAGGCTCAGACGATTTCCAATCTGCACGGTTCCTGGTCTCTGTTGCCAAAGTTTATAAAAGTACCTCCAGGGATGCCTAGCAGGAGACCTAACTGCCTTTGTCTTGTGACATTGGGGACTCCCTTAAGAAACAAATTGGTTCTTGGGCAGCTTGTTGCTCTCCGTGGGCCTGGGGATGAGGACACTATAAAAGCTGGCAGGGGCAGAGACTGGCAGCTTCTCTTCCCGGCTCTTTAAATCAAAGAAAAATAATATGAGTTCCTGTTTGACAACTTGGCTTTCATTCCCATGTCCAGAGTATGCACTCCTGCAGAGTTCAGCTTGTTAGACAAGTGAGGAGGTGCAATGGACTAAATCCATGCCAGAGTCCTAAATTCTTAGGGTATTATATTCCCTCCTCCTCAGCAATTGCTAAGGTCATCAGTCATCCTAAGGAGGACAGAGATGCTCCCCTGGCTCTCTAGAGCTATCCTCTGTTGCAGGGCTGCTACTTATAACCCCACTGGAACAGCTACCCAGCAACGCTATAGGAAAGGACAGCAAGAGGCCCAGGTTCTGGGTACTCTGTTCTGCCTCTGCTCATGGGCAAAGGGCAGCACGAGCAGCTCCCAGTCGTGTGGAGGATCAGAATGTGGCCATGCCAAAGGTAGAAGTTTACCTAAATGTAATGATTCCGGAATTTATTACATTCATGTAAGGTGCTTAAAAAAGGTAAAGTTAGAGGGAAGGACAGAGGGAAACAGAGGGATCTCCCAACCACTGGGTCACTCCCCAAATAGCCAAAACATCCAGGACTGAAACTGCAGCCATCTGGCCTTCCCACATTGGTGGTTTGGGCTCAATAACTTGCAACATCTTTTCTGGTTTTCCCAGGTGCTTTAGCAGGGAACTGGATTGGAAATGGGGTAGCTGAGGATTGACTCAGTAGCTATATGGGATGTAAGCATTGCAGCCTAACCATCTTCACAATGTTAGTCCCAGACACAGAGTTTTCAAAACAAATTTTTAAAAATGTGGGGCAATAGAATGACAATGACATCACAGGCGAAAAGATCTAGGTTTGTGGCTTTTCTTGATTAGTGATGTACACTTCTTTTTCTAATTATAAATCTCACATTTTATCATATGAAATGTTTTTAATGATACTGTATCACCAGATTCCTGAGGTAGTTATGTAACAGAATAGATTATACAATGGATCCATCTGGAAAATTCAAGTAGTCAAAATTTGAGTGGCTGTTGGCTAGTGTGAACATGTGACACTAAAAGAGAGGTTTGTGCAGGTGGCACTAAATGTGGAAGATAAAATTCTTCTGCTCAAAATCACAAAGGATGGAAAATGACTTTTCCCATCCACAGAGAGTGCGTGCTAAAGGAGAATGATTCTCCTACTGTTTGAGTGTGAAAGAACTGGGA